CTCATCCGACAGGTAGGGTGCCAATTGCCTCGCTTGTCGTAGATGGAAGAAGGCCTGTTTGCTGGCAGCAGAGCTTCCATTGTCAGCTGCGAATCCAAAATGACACCTAAGCTCTTAATGATAGGCGATGGAGATAAGACAGAACCATCGAAAATGGGTCAGGCCTATCTGGCAGCCATGCCAAAGAATCTCAGTCTTCGCCGGATTCACCTTCAGTCTACTAGCATGAAGCCAGTTAGACAGAGCCTCCAGACATAAGGTGAAATTGTCTGGTATTGACATTACTCCAGGCTCCAAACGCAAAAGGAGTTGGGTGTCATCCGCATATTGATAGCAGGCCAGGCCAAATCTCCGAGCCAAACCGAGTTTAATGTAGATGTTGAAAAGAAGAGGGGAGAGAATTGCACCTTGGGGTACCCCACAAAGAAGGGGGGATCTATGAACATGTCAAACACCTCTGGGACTTCCGAATTCAGACAGACAGAGTTCTGGAGCATAATACTCCTGATCTCACTATTGTGTTAAAAAACAAAGTATGGATTATCAATGTTTCAATCACAGATGACAGGAGGATTGAAGAGAAACAACTGGAAAAGCTGACACAATATGAGGATTTAAAGATCAAACTGCAAAGACTCTGGCACAAGCCAGTCAAGGGGGTCCCAGTGGTGATTGGCCCACTGGGTGCAGTGCCTAAAGACCTTGGCCTGAACTTAAACACAATCAGCGCTGACAGGATTACCATGTGCCAGCTGCAGAGGGCCACCTTACTGGGATCTGCATGCATTATTCACTGATACATCACACAATCCTAGACACTTGGGAGGTGTCTGACCTGTGATCCAATACAACAACCAGCAGAGTGATCTTGTTTGCTGTTGACTCATCTTGTTGTGTTTCAAATAGTAATAGTAATAATAATAATAATAATAATAATAACAACAACAATAACAACAACAACAGAAGTCTTAGTGGCCATCCAGAAGAAAGGCCTGCCTCAGTGGAGTGTGCTTGCTCCATCCATGTTCAACATTTACACAAATGACCAGCCACTGCCAGAAGGGACAGAGAGTTTCATCTATGCTGATGATCGTGCCATTACCACTCAAGCAGGGAGCTTTGAGATGGTTGAACAGAAGCTCTCCGAAGCTCTAGGTGCTCTTACTGCCTATTACAGGAAAACCAGCTGATCCCTAACCCATCTAAAACACAGACATGTGCCTTTCACCTTAAGAACAGACAAGCATCCCGAGCTCTGAGGATGACCTGGGAAGGAATCCCACTGGAGCATTGCAGCACACCCAAATACCTGGGAGTCACTCTGGACCGTGCTCTGACCTACAAAGAAGCACTGCCTGAATATCAAGCAAAAAGTGGGTGGTAGAAACAATATCATACGAAAGCTGACTGGCACAACCTGGGGATCACAACCAGACACAGTGAAGACATCTGCCCTTGCGCTATGCTACTCTGCTGCTGAGTATGCATACCCAGTGTGGGACACATCTCACCACGCTAAAACAGTGGATGTGGCTCTTAATGAGACATGCCGCATCATCACGGGTGTCTGCGCCCTACACCACTGGAGAAATTACACTGCTTAGCCGGTATTGCACCACCTGACATCCGCCAGGAAGTAGCAGCCAATAGTGAAAGGACCAAGGCAGTGACATCTCCAGCTCATCCCCTGTTTGGGTATCAGCCAGCACGTCAACGACTTAAATCAAGAAATAGTTTTCTAAGATCTGCAGAGACACTCGCTGGAACACCTCAGCAAGCGAGAGTCCAAAAGTGGCAGGCTCAAACCCAGAACCTCAATCAATGGCTGATACCAAATGAGAGACTCCCCCCCTGGGCACACAGAAAACTGGGCGACTTGGAAGGTGCCAAACAGACTGCGCTCTGGCACTACGAGATGCAGAACCAATCTTAAGAAATGGGGCTACAAAGTGGAATCCATGACATGTGAGTGCGGAGAAGAGCAAACCACAGACCACCTGCTACAATGCAACCTGAGCCCTGCCACATGCACAATGGAGGACAATGTAATACAATGTAATACAAATGTAATACAAATGTAATACAAATGTCTGGTTGCTCCTGACACAATTTATCCCTCTTTGATAGTTTTCCTCTTTCTCTAATTTTTCTAGACACTTTTAAAACTCAGCTCATGGCAATGCTATGTTTCTCATCCTGTTACAGGAAACTAGAGCACTGGAAGGTTGCTGCTGTCACTATTATCCACATACCATTGCCCACTAGGAACTGTGCAATAGAAAATTGCCTAATTAATTACTTGTGACTTGTTTCCTTTTCTGGATTTTCACACATACTTTTAAGATTACTGCTATGAAATTAGTCACGAACAAAAATATAAGCAACAACAATCTTTTTACCTAGGCTATCCCTCCTTTTCCGAGGATGATTGTCTTCCAATATTCTTGTGGGTCCTTATGTGGCTGTGGAGCCCTATTCTTGCTCTGCATCTTCTTCCGCAGTGAGGGCATTGGTTTCCAGGTAAAAGGCGGTCTCGGTCGGGTTGGCTTGACGCGCCGTCCTCTTGGCACACTTCTCCCTTTCGCCCTCCATTCGTGCCTCCTCAAATTCTGCAGCACTGCTGGTCACAGCTGACCTCCAGCTGGAGCGGTCAAGGGCCAGGGCTTCCCAGTTCTCAGTGTCTATGCCAGAGTTTTTAAGGTTGGCTTTGAGCCCATCTTTAAATCTCTTTTTCTGTCCACCAACATTCCGTTTACCGTTCTTGAGTTTGGAGTAGAGCAACTGCTTTGGGAGACGGTGGTCGGGCATCCGGACAACGTGGCCGGTCCAGCGGAGTTGGTGGCGGAGGACCATTGCTTCAATACTGGTGGTCTTTGGTTCTTCCAGCACGCTGACATTTGTCCGCCTGTCTTCCCAAGAGATTTGCAGGATTTTCCGGAGGCAGCACTGATGGAATCGTTCCAGGAGTTGTATGTGATGTCTGTAGGCAGTCCACGTCTCACAGGCATATAGCAGGGTTGGGCATATAGCAGCAACATATAGCATATAGCAACAACAATCACACAAAGGAAGATTAGGTGCTGGAGAAGTCCCTTAAAATACCACGGAAAATGTTCCCAGTCTGCTGTAAACAGTGACCTCCCAGCGTTGTCAGCTGCCAGACAGGATAATAGCAGCCTTTGATATGTTAACATCTGGGAGGAAAAATAAAATGGTGCACACTCACATGTTCATAACCTCCAACTGTCCCAATTTTGTAGAGAAAAATACAATTAATCCTTCATTGATACACTGGATAATTCTACACACCACAAAATGCAGTCAGGATTAAAAATGCCAGGTGCCTATCTCGCCTCAGTGGCAAGGGCAGGTTCACACTGGCCAGCCATGCTGACAACATGGCTGGGGATGTGCTTGCCAAACCTCTCTGACCTCCTCTCATTAACCCCCCCCCCCCATATCCAGAAAGCCCCCTTAATGTTGCAGGAGATTATTCAAGTGGCAATGTGACAAGAGCTCTAGAGTGGGAAGTCCCCCACTCCCTTTCCCTGCCCAAAGTGCCATCATATCATAACTGGGGATAATCCAGCTACAGGGAAGCTCCTGGAACAGTAAGGAGGCTTTTGGGCATTTGGGAAGTAGGAACAATCTGACATGGTAGTTGTGAGAGTGGTCCAGCATTGCTGTGCTCTCAAATAATACACTGTGTTCTGTGTTGAGAACACAGAAATGCTGGATCACTCTAACAACCACATGTCAGATTACACATGTCAGATTACACAGAGAAACCACTGAAATCCACAAGCATGTGAGCAATTTCAACAGAAAGAAGGAAACCATGAATATGAACAAAATCTGTCCTCTAAAGACAGGACAATAAATAAAGAGCAACACTAAAAAAAAAAACAGGGGAATTCCAGATAGGAAACAATCAGGGCCAGTCAACACCTCCCAACAAAGGATTCCCCCTGGCAGGAAGCAGCCAGGCAGGAGAGAATGCTTCTGGAACATGGCCATACAGTCCAGAAAACTCACAGCAACCCAGTGATTCCTGCCGTGAAAGCCTTTGATAACATATTTATTTATTTGTTCTTGTTTTTCAAAGAATGGGTCAGGTTCAGCTTTGTGGCCCTACTCCTTTTTGTCCATTTTGCACCTTTTCTTTAGCCATTTGGCATAGGATGGATCCTCTCATTTTTTTTGTTGCATTACCCCTTTAGCTAAATCAAAACAATATTTTTCTCCAGTGGGGTTTCAGGATAGAGACCGAAAATTAATTGAAATATATATAGGATTTTTTAAAAAATGTACAGTTTATATCTGGCAATATTGTGAATTAAAGTAAACAAATATCTGCAATATAGAATAGGAATCCTCTTGGCCATTTAACTGCTTCTACTGTAGGAATTTCATTCTCCTTCATAGAGGTGAATGAAAATGAAAGCGATGAAAAAATGTATATTAAAACCATACATCTATTTTGGCAAATCCCTAATTGCAGTACAATCAATAATGAAGTCAGGTATTTTAAGGAAATGTATCCCCAAAGCTTAACTCCGTAACCTTCTGATGCCCTTAGAGATGTCTGTTACTTCCCCGCCTCTCTCTCTGCTATCTCTATATGCACTCTTTCTCTATCCACCCCTGCTGCTCATTCTCTCTCTCTCTCTCTGATGAAACAGGACCAGCAAAGTCCCTCAGTCGTGTCATATCTGTCCTTTTTATTCATTGCAGGGTCTATTAATAGCTGGAAACAACTGCTTCCTAAAAATGGAGTTCTCTGTGACACAGAAGCCTGACTGAGCTATGTAAGGTATCCAGGGTTTGGTTTCCCGGCTTCTTCTGTATGTCTTTTCTCCTTTGTCTTTATAAACAGGTTAGTTTGCTGTAGCTGCTGCCTCAGCCTTTCTACGTGGATTCATAGGGACAAATCAGAACTCAGAGAGTTGGGACCTCTATAATCTCTTCTCTTGGAATTACTTCATCCACAGATAAAGGAGCAAAGATGAAGGCAACTTGTTGGCTGACATTGGCAGTCATCTATGTGCTCCTCATCACCTGCTGCAGAGCAGAAGAAGGACTAGACTTCCCTACCTATGACGGGAAGGATCGTGTGATTAACCTAAGTGAGAAGAATTACAAGCAGACTTTGAAGAAGTATGATATGCTTGGCGTGCTCCTCCATGAACCTGTGACTTCTGATAAAACCTCCCATAGACGTTTTCAGATGACCGAGATGGTACTGGAGGTAAGTCCAGCTGCAAGTTTCCTGCCCTGGCTGCTCTCTAAAGCTGAACATTCAAATTCTTAAATCTTATACATGTTTTAAGAACAAAAACATCTGCCTTTGAACTGTATTTTACTGTATAATTTAAGAGCAAAGTGGTAGGCACGGAAAAAGTTAACAGTACCCAAGTTTTATAAGATTTAATGCACCTCCAGAAAAAGGGACAGTTCCAAAGTAACTGCAAAGTAATTTCCCACTTGCCTTTTTTGAAACAACTGTTTCTACTGTTCACATGATGGGGCAAAAGAATCTCCCTTTCAGCCAATCAGAAACTAAGCAGAGAAGACCATACAAAATGGAAATATTCCTTTATTTAGTTGAAAAATCTACTGGGGGGAGGCAAATTGAGCAAATTTTGCCATTCATATTCCTTATTGTAAGCATCTCCCTCTGAGTCAAGAAAGTGTTTACTATTCCAATAATATGGGGGCTACGATACCAATGGGCTCATCACTAACAAAATGAAATAGTGTAATTGCCAGAGAAATCCTAGGGGTAAGTGAACTTGCAAAGGTCCAGCTTAAGCAGAGGGAACAAGAAGAATTTTTGACATCTTGGGAAGGAAGAAAGCAACAATAGAGTCTAAGAATATCATCTGGGAGAAGGAGAAACAACTGCTACTTGCATAACAACAGCCGTACAGTGGGAGAGGCATGCCTGACAGTGAGCAGCAGGTGTTTCAGACATTCCATATTGCAGCCTTTCAACCCTTCAGGGAACCCCATATTAAAAATATTGTGTCTACAGTTAAAAATAAATTATTGTAGTTTCAATTGTTATATCTCACAGAACCCCTAGCAAATTCTCAGGAAAATTCCAAGGAGCCCTGCTTGAGAAATCATGTCGTGCTGCTTTGCTCCCAACTGTCTGATTGCATGTGAAAAATTCACAACTCAAGCACATCTGAAAAACAAGACAAGTAAATGATTAAGACAAGGAAAGCTGCCCCTCCTTGTCATAGCCTTTACAGTGGAACACATTGTATGGAAAGTCATCAAAAAGGACCTTTATTGCTGTATTGACTGCAATAAAGGAGGGGCTGTCCAGACAATGTTCTGGACAGTCCCAAATTAATTTGAATTAATTTGATAGTGGATTTATTCTGTGCCTTCTTGGAAGGTGTGGGATAAATCCACTATTTCCAGTGTCTGGACTGCAATTCAGACACCATTCCCACAGTTTACTGGGCTAAATAAGCCTGGTAAACTGTGGGAATACCCACCCCCTCCCCCCAAGCCCCCAGACCCTTTTGAAAAGTTAAAAAAAACCTTACCCAGCCTGCAGTATGCCCTCTGTGGAGCTTTCCGAGTGTGTACATATGATGCGCCAGGAGAGTGGGGGGGGGGGGGGAGAAAAATCGCTACCCCCCTTTGCCTGGCGTGTCATTTGTATGCTCTGGGAGAGCTGCTCTGAGGGTATACTGCAGTCTGGGTAAGGTTTTTTTTACTTTTCAAAAGAGTCTGGGGTCTTGGGGGAGGGGGGAGGGCCTTCAGACGTTCTCTCAGGATAGTCCCAAGAGAACACCCACCCCAGAAACCTTGCACTTTCTGGAGTGGGTGCAGACAGGCCCTCAGGAAAATCCCAGATTCTCCTGGGATAAAGGTCTGCCTGGATCTGGCCTAAGATTCCAGAAGGAGTATTATTGAGACACCAATTCTATGGGCTTAACAATCAGCATCATGATCAAAACTACTAAAACGTATCAAATTACTTTGGTACACAAAAGCATGGTTTTTTTCCATTTCCTGTAGTTTGTTCAGATTGATTTAGTAATTGATTTGGTAATTTTTAGAAACAAACTCCACAGTTGTTGTACCATATCATAATTCATGCTGCAAAAGTTGCTGTCTGTAGTGCTTGCTGCTGCAGTGCTCACAGAACTCACAAGCCTCCAAAGTTTTTCAGTTGAAGAGAAAATGGTTAGAGCAATGAAGCAAAAGAATACACAAAATGATGGCAGTAGAAACTAAACACAATAGTATGTGTACTATAGAAGCTGTTTCTATAGAAGCTGACCAATCTAAGAAGGCTGTGGATGGTGCAGCTAAACTTAAAGATGCTTCCAACTAAGATGCACAGTGATTTTCTCATCCTCTGATGAAGAAAAGTCCAAAAAGTGTGAGAAGGATAAAAGATCTATTTCTTTGAAGACTCTTTTTTACGTACTGGGGAAACTTTAGGATACTGCTGTGGGAGAATCTGCTTTGCTTTCTCTGGAGGCTTTGGCTTTTATCAAGATCTGTCTTTCCTTCTGACAGCCCATCCAGACAGGGCCCAAATTGTGCAAACTAACGACACCTCCAGTGAAAGAGGAAAATTCTGCTTTGTCACAAATTATTTAGATACTTCATTAGACCCGAATCTTCCTGAAAGATCCGGGTCTAAGGGAGTAGTGGTCCTGTGGGGGCTGATCCAGGAGATAGTTAAGCATTGACTGCTCTCTTGAATACCACAGAGACCATTTCTTTGTCAGCAGGAAGGAAGAGATTTTGAAGAAAATTCGTAGTTTGTACTTTTAAAAGAATCTTGACTTTTTCAAAATGAACAGTGATCCACAATATCATCCTGTTGCTTGTCATTCACACCTATGGCAAGAGTTTGCTTGCAAGTCAAATTTATTGAGCATAACTCATAACAAAAAGGTCGCCATTAGTATCTCTTCCCTCACCTGCTCTCATTTTTCTCTAGCTTTTTTCCCTCTGATTTAAAAGGTCAGAAGCTATTGTATTGCTCTTTGGTTAAAGATGTAACAGGAAAATGTAATTGCCTCACAGTACATTATCAATTGTTCCAAATATAACTTGGCAGATGCAGTTCAGAAAGTGGCATGGTGCCTACACATGAGGAGGAACAAGCTGAAGATCAATCCCGACAAGACAGAGGTCCTCCTGGTCGATCGCAAACTGGATCGGGGTATAGGGTGGCAACCTGTGTTGGACGGGGTTCACTCCCCCTGAAGCCACAGGTCCGCAGTTTGGGAGTCCTCTTGGATTCATTGCTCACGCTTGAAGCTCAGGCGTCGGCGGTGTCCGGGAGGGCTTTTGCACAATTGAGACTTGTGAGCCAGCTGCGACTGTACCTCACGAAGGCTGATCTGGCCGGGGTGGTCTATGCCTTGGTCACCTCTAGATTGGATTACTGCAATGGGCTCTACGTAGGGCTGCCCTTGAAAACGGCTCGGAAGTTCCAACTGGTCCAACGGGCAGCAGCCAGGATGTTAACCAGGGCTCATTACAGAGTGAGGTCAACCCTCCTGTTCAAGGAGCTCCACTGGCTGCCGTTTATTTTCCGAGCCCAATTTAAGGTGCAGGTGCTTACCTACAAAGCCCTGAACAGTTTGGGACCATCCTATCTGCGTGACCGCATCTCCATCTATGAACCCACGCGTTCACTTCAGTCATCTGGAGAGGCCCTGCTCTTGATCCCGCCTGCGTCGCAAGCGCGCTTGGTGGGGACTCGAGACAGGGCTTTTTCTGTGGTGGCCCCCTGACTCTGGAACGCCCTCCCAAGAGATCTTAGACAGGCCCCCACACTGGCAGTCTTCAGAAAGAACTTGGACCTGGCTGTTCCGATGTGCCTTCCCAGATTAGGAATCTCCAATACCAAGTCCCAGAAGCACTTTAGTAGAACTAAGATTACTGCACACTGCACCACTTACTTATAATCCTACATACCTCCTGCCACATCAGCCCTTTTAATCTTGTACCCATTACTCTGGCCCGGCCCAGTTTTATAGTGTTTTGATGTATTGTTTACTGCTATTGTTTATTCTGCTTAACTGTTTTTAATTTGCTTTGTGTACTGTACTGTTGTATTGTGTTCTGAGGCCTTGGCCTGTGTAAGCCGCATCGAGTCCTTCGGGAGATGCTAGCGGGGTACAAATAAAGTAATAATAATAATAATAATAATAATAATAATAATAATGCATGCACATTAAAGAGAAGAAGTAACTCCTCCAGCAGATGGAAACTGATGAAGAGGAAGAATACCTGAAAAGGAAACTGTAGCAATAACTCATATGAACACATTTTTAAACAAGCTATAGGTGAAATAAGGCCAGGGGAGGCTGTTATGCAAAATTAAAGGGAGACTTGCAGTTCACATTATTTTGACACTGTTTGGTACAACTTTTCACTATCACAAAAATCAGACAGGATCAATTCATCATATACTTTGCTTGACAGTCCTCTATCAGAGAGCATGAGGGATTAACAAGGACTGGAACTAAAAGATGAGAACTGACTTTGTCAGAAAGGAGAACTAAGAATATGGAAGTTTCAAAGTTTTTCTGTGATATGCGGAAAGGCAAGATACTTTTAGCAAGGTGACAAATGGGTGGCAAGACAAACCCAATCACATAAATTATACTCTCCCTTTCCCCCTCTTTTATCTATCATTCAGGAGGCAGGCATGGCAGCCATCCATCCCTGGGAGAGTCCCTCTCTTCTCTGGTTACCTCTCTTAACTAGAGAGGCCTCATGCTCTAAGAATTTGGCTCCTAGGCATTGAGGGAACACAATGCTGAAAGATCTGCCACCTGATTGGCTCTTGGAGTGCCTCACAAAAAGTTTTGTATAATCTGGCTGTATCATATTTTTATCTGAACTGGCCACTCCTAATTTTAGTGACCTTAAGCCGGGAGGCATTTTCCAGTTCTGTGAACTTGGGGGGGGGGGGGCTATGTTGAACTCAAAGCTCTTCTTATGGGCTCATTCTTGAAGCTTATTTTTGAGTAAACCGACATAAAGCCACTCTAGAAATCTATATATCAGTTTATACTCAATCATGCTGCGGCAATACCTTCATTTTATATTAATGACCTTAAGCCAGGAAGCATTTTCAAGTTCTTTAAACTTAGAGAGAGATAATGCTGAACTCTGGAAGCTCTTCTTGTGTGATAATTCTTACATTTGATTATAGAGTGGTGATACACTGCAGCTATCAAGTTCCAGAGATAATAT